TATACATATATATATCATTATATTATTTATTTTGGCATTTTTGTGAAACAGAGGAGAGTCTGGTGCCGGTAAGACTGAGAACACGAAGAAAGTAATTTCCTACTTCGCCCTCGTCGCCGCATCTGGACAGAAGAAGGCAGGAGCTTCAAAGGTTTGTTGCACCTGGCTGCCTTCGTTTGCTAAATGCAATGAAGTTAAATTTGCAATAGATTATATCAAGAGCATATTAAGAAGGAGAGCGTACAACGGTGAAATAAAAAAAACCATGTTGTAGTTTCAGTGAAATTAGTAAACTTTACCCGTTATATTTTGACAATTCTTTGCGGTATTATTATTCAACTATCCGTCCTTGATAATGTAAAACCAACCGCTTGTTCCTACGATGTCCCCAGGCTGAGATATTAAGCGGTCAAGATCTAGTATTTTGCCGAAAATCGAATTAGAGTTCACTGCGAGCTGCGACTGTCTTTCGTATCTAAAATAGTAGAAGGAAAAGTAATTTCATTTGTGAATGAATGACGGAAACACGCGAGGTTTCCCGAAGCTATCGCCAAAGCGAGAGACAGTCGCAGCTCGCAGTGAACTCTAGTTAGATTTTCGGCAAAATACTAGAATTTCACCGCTTAATATCTCAGCCTACGGACATCGTAGGAACAAGCGGTTGGTTATACATTATCGATAAATAATAATAATGCAAAGAATCATCGAAATAAAACGGGCAAAGTTGCTTAATTCGACTAATACTGCAACATGGTTTCAGCATTTCACCGTTGTACGCTCTTAATACGCTCTTGTCTATATACCAGTCAAGGGTTGATAGAGCCACGTGCATATAGTCAGTTGTATTACTGATGATCTCACGTGTGAGATGCATCTTGTTAACGGCATTCGTTAGGCGTCTGTGTGATTAAATTTTCTCTTCACAGGTGAGTCTGGAGGATCAGATCGTGCAGGCTAACCCCGTGCTTGAGAGCTTCGGTAACGCAAAGACTATCAGAAACGACAACTCTTCTCGTTTCGTAAGTATACGTCTAATTTACATTAGATTTTATTGTGAAGATTTTATGTAATGAGGAGTGTATAATATAGATTATATAATAGTCTATATAATATATATTATATTATATATATAATACTCTCTATTATAGACTTCTGATGTAATGTCTACGTAAGCCTTAGCTTGTGAAGGGAGCGATCTATCATGTGACAGCATACAAATATCCGTCGTCAGTATCGCTTTAATGATAATTAATTTCGTCTTACTTCAGGGTAAATTCATCCGCATCCACTTCGGGCCATCAGGAAAGCTGGCTGGAGCCGATATTGAATCTTGTGAGTACATAACACGTCATTATAACGAGTAAACAATAAACGAGTAATAAATAAACAATATTACCCATAAAGATATATGTATACATAATATGTTCACTAATTCCTCATCAATTCATATTAATATACGTTTACCTTCATCCTGCAGATCTGCTGGAGAAGTCACGTGTCGTGTCCCAGGCCCCGCTCGAGCGTAGCTACCACATCTTCTACCAGTTGCCATCCGGTGCTATTGATGGAATGAAAGGTGTAGATAAGATCGACTATTAAGATTTGCTACAATTTATATACTCGAAATTAGCAAAATATATCGAATGTGGGACATAACATAGAACGAATTGAACGTTAACGAAATGATACGTTGTACAATTTCAGACAAATGCTTGCTACAAAATGACGTCAGCACCTACTATTTCATCGCCCAGGGTAAAACCTATATCGACGGAGTAGATGACGCCGAGGAGATGAAACTTACCGACGTGAGTACACGTTATAATCAGTAAACCATGTGTCTTCTATGCATGGAGTCATGCTAGACATAAATATATTTTAGAATTCTTAGAAAAAACAACAACAAATAAATATAACAAATTATGATCTTGTGAGTGAACAGTTCCATGAATATTAATGTTTAAACGTTTGTAAGAGATTCTTGCTTAGATAAGTGTTTACACGACAAATTCTCACCATGGTATAATAGCAACATAGCAGCATGTAGTTATACGACTTCACGCATGATTTTCACAGGAAGCCTTCGACATTTTGGGTTTCACTGAAAGAGAGAAATGGGACATCTACAAAATTGTCGGCGCTGTCATGCACATGGGAGTCATGAAGTTCAAGCAGAGGCCCAGGGAGGAGCAGGCAGAAGCCGACGGCACCGAAGCAGCCTGCAAGGTCGCCCATGTCTTGGGTCTTTCTGATGCTGACCTCATCAAGGGTATCCTGAAGCCACGCGTCAAGGTCGGAAATGAGTACGTTACCAAGGGTCAGACTAAGGAGCAATGCTACAACGGTGTCGGCGCTCTGGCCAAGGCTATGTACGACCGCATGTTCCGCGCCTTGGTAGCAACGGTGAACAAAACCCTCGCTACCGTAGGCAAGAAGCAGTTCTTCATTGGCGTTCTGGATATTGCTGGCTTCGAGATTTTCGACTTCAACAGCTTCGAGCAGATCTGCATCAACTTCACCAACGAGAAGCTGCAGCAGTTCTTCAACCATCACATGTTCATTCTGGAACAGGAAGAGTACAAGCGTGAGGGCATCGAATGGATCTTCATTGATTTCGGTCTTGATCTCCAGGCTTGCATTGACATGATTGAAAAGGTAGTTTGATACTCCTGCTCCAAACAACTCTAAATGGCCATTTTAGACGAAACGATAGACCTAAGTAAAACGTTCCGAAAACTAAATAATAATGAAATTACATTTTTTCTTGAATCTTTCAGCCTATGGGGGTATTCGCTATCCTTGAGGAAGAATCTATGTTCCCCAAAGCAACTGATATGACTTTCTTGGACAAGATGCAAGTTAACCATCTAGGCAAATCCCAAAGCTTCATCAAGCCGAGACCGCCAAAGGCAGGACAGGTCGAGGCTCACTTTGGCATTGTCCACTACGCCGGTATCGTCAACTACAACGTCAACCACTGGTTGGAAAAGAACAAGGATCCTATCAACGACACCGTGGCTATCACATTCGCCAAGTCTCATGGCAATGTACTGCTTGCCCAGCTGTTTGCTGATAAGCTGCTGGCTGATGAGGACACTGGTGGAAAGGGAAAGAGGAAGAAGGGATCCGCCTTCCAGACAGTATCTGCTCTCTACAGGGTAAGACTTTCTGGCAAAATTAACACGTTATGATTTACATAATAACATCATTCCTAAATTAAACAAATGATTGTAACAAAGAATAATAAAGTAAGCGGTATTATAGTATGGAGATAGGTTGGAGCTACCAGCATCCCGTTACTGTTGTACAGGAACAATTGAACAAGCTGATGGCAACCCTACATGCGACCCAGCCTCATTTCGTGCGTTGCATCATTCCCAACGAGAACAAGGAAGGAGGTGTTCTTGATGCCGCACTGGTCATGAACCAACTGAAATGCAACGGTGTACTGGAAGGAATCCGTATTTGCCGCAAGGGCTTCCCCAACAGATTGGTATATGGAGACTTCAAGCAAAGGTAAACATAATAACTTCCATATCTCGTGTGCCACAACAATGTTTTGATAAGTCATGTTCTTTCAGTTCCATAATATCATAAGTATAAAAACATAAAATAGTTTTAATATTCGTGAAATTAACACAGGTACAAGATTCTGGCACCAAGTGCTGTCCCAGAGGGGTTCTGTGACAGTAAGGATGCAAGTGCAGCCATTCTCTCCGAGCTGAAATGGGACACGGCAATGTACAGGCTCGGTCATACCAAGGTCTTCTTCAAGGCCGGCTCTCTGGGTCAGCTTGAGGAACTGCGTGACGACCGCATCACTCGTATTATCACTCTCACCCAGGCCTGGGTCCGTGGAAACCAGACAAGAGCTCTCTACCAAGTAATGAAGGCCCAGCGTCTGGCAATGATTGTCATTCAGCGCAACGTCAGGAAGTACATTCAGTGCCGCAACTGGCCATGGTGGAAGCTGTACACGAAGGTGAAGCCTATGCTGAGCATTGCCCGCCAGGAGGATGAGATCAAGGAGATGAAGGAAGAGTTCGAAAAGGTCAAGAAGGAACTGTCCAAGGAATCTAAATTGCGTAAGGAAAGTGAAGAGCAGGTTGCTAAGATCACTAAGGAAAAGGAGGAATTGTACGCTCGCGTCGCAAACGAAGCTGAAACCATTGCCGACATTGAAGAGCGCGCAACCAAGCTGATGCAGCAGAAACACGACTTGGAATCGCAGCTGCATGATACACAAGGCCGCCTAGCCGAGGAGGAGCAGGGAGCTGCCTCTGTCGGTGATGCTAAGAGGAAGGTCGAATCTGAATGCAATGACCTGAAGAACCGGATCGAGGAGCTAGAACGTGCGCTGAAGAAGATGGAGAGCGAGAAGAATGCGAAGGAACATCAAATCAAGCAGCTGAACGAGGAGATTGCCAAGATGGAGGAACTCATCGCTAAGGGAAACAAGGAGAAGAAGAGCGCACAGGAACAGCAGAGTGTAAGTACATAGCACGATTATCAGCTGTAATTTCTATGCATTTATAATAGCTACACTAGAGGTACCCGGTCATGATATTACGGTTCGTACATTGCAGAGAACGAGCGAGGATCTGCAGAAGGAAGAGGATAAATGCAATCACCTCTCCAAGGTCCAAGCCAAGCTGGAACAGACTCTTGATGAGTTGGAGGACAACCTCGAACGCGAGAAGAAGGTCCGTGGAGACGTGGAGAAGGCAAAGAGGAAGGTCGAGGGCGACCTGAAGATGACACAAGAGGCGATTGATGAGCTGGAGCATGTCAAGCAGCAACTCGAGGAAACCGTCCGCAGAAAGGACAAGGAGCTTTCCGGCCTAGGCAGCAAATGCGAGGATGAACAAGGAATCGTTCACCAGCTGCAGAAAAAGATCAAGGAACTTCAGGCGCGCACGGAGGAGATCGAAGAAGAGGTGGAAGCCGAGAGACAAGCCCGCTCCAAGGTTGAGAAGCAGAGGGCCGATGCAACTCGCGAGTTGGAGGAGCTCACTGAACGCCTCGAGGAGGCAGGTGGCGCCACCAGCGCCCAGGTCGAGCTGAATAGAAAGCGCGAGGCTGAGTTGGCCAAGCTTCGTCGTGACCTTGAGGAGCAGGCTCTGCAGAACGAGGCTGTAATTTCATCTCTGCGCAAGAAGCAGAACGATGCTGTTAGCGAGATGGGTGAACAGATCGACCAGTTGCAGAAGAACAAGGCTAAGTACGTGATCTTCCATTAGAATGAACCACACAGTCAAATCATTCGCATTTAAGTCCTGAATAATTGTTTTTATTGATACTAATTTATTTTTCTTTTATACACGAGCAGACTAAATGTTATTAATGTAATAATTTTCTTGTCGTTTTAATGACCTTACTTCTTGTGTAGGATGGATAAAGAAAAAGCTCACAAGCAGGTGGAAGTGGATGACCTTAAGGCAAACATGGAGCACGTCAGCAAGAACAGGGCACAGGCCGAAAAGTTGGCAAAGGCACTTGAGACCCAGCTGAGCGAGGCTAACGCCAAGCTAGATGAGTCAGCGCGCTCCATCAATGACATGAACGCGCAGAAGAGCAGGGCGAGCAACGAGAACAACGACCTTCAGAGGCAGCTGGAGGAAGCCGAGTCTCAGCTAAGCCAGCTGACAAGAGTCAAGGCACAGCTATCCTCACAGTTGGAGGAGGCGAGAGCTTCTACTGATGAGGAGTCGCGGGCGAAGGCGTCCATGCAGGCACAGCTGCGCAATACTCAACACGATGCCGAGCAGCTGCGCGAACAGCTAGAAGAGGAGGCTGAGGGCAAGAGCTCTCTGCAGAGGCAACTGGCCAAGGTCAGCAACGAATTCAACACTCTGCGTGCGCGAGTTGAGAGCGAGGGGCTAGGAGGTGGCGGACCGGAGGCCGAGGAGCTCAAGTAAGTGACAGCATTCAACTAGTAATGTAAATTACATTTGAATATAATTGTGCCTGTGCTAGAAGCTATCGTAATTTATAATTATATAGTTTCTGCGCTATAAATTCTTTTGCCCTTACATTATTGTATTATTATCATATTGATTAACAGGCGTAAATTCCAAGCGAAGCTCCAAGCAACTGAAGAATCACTCGAAGTTGCACACGCGAAGAATATTCATCTCGACAAAGCAAAGCAGAGGCTCGCCAATGACTTGGATGACATGTCAATTGAAGTGGAGCGTGCGACCAGCGCAGCCAACGCCGCCGAGAAGCGCCAGCGCAACTTCGACAAGACCATCTACGAGTGGAAGCAGAAGAGCGATGACCTCGCTAGCGAGCTTGAGGCATCCCAACGCGAATGCCGCAACCTGTCCACCGAGCTGTTTAAGTCGAAGGCTTCCCAGGAAGAGGCAGCCGACAGTTTGGAATCTGTCAAGCGGGAGAATAGAAACCTCTCTGATGAAATCAAGGACCTCACTGACCAGCTGAGCGAGGAAGGCAAGAGCGTCCACGAGATGGACAAGGCCCGCAGGAGACTCGAGCAGGAGAAGGAAGAACTACAGGCAGCGCTAGAGGAGGCCGAGGCTGCCTTGGAGCAAGAAGAGTCCAAGGTCGTCCGTGGTCAACTCGAACTGCACCAGATCCGCCAGGAGGTTGACAGACGTCTCGCAGAAAAGGACGATGAGTTTGAGACGACCCGCAGAAACCACCAGCGCGCTGTTGACTCCATGCAAGCCAGCCTTGAGGTTGAGGCCAAGGGCAGAGCCGAGGCAATGCGCATGAAGAAGAAGCTTGAGACGGACATCAACCAGCTGGAGGTTGCTCTTGACGCATCCAACCGCCAGAACGCCGATGCTCAGAAGAACCTGAAGAGGCTGCAGAGCGAGCTCGCTGACCTATTAGCACAGCTTGAGGAGGAAATACGCGCCCGCGACGAGCTGCGTGAACAGTTGGGAGCCAGCGAGCGCCGCTGCAATGCCATCAGCGGTGAGCTGGAGGAGACGCGTACTTCCCTGGAGACGGCAGAGCGCCACCGCCGCGCAGTCGAAGCTGAGCTAGATGAGGCAAATAATCACATCGGAGATCTCGAGAGCCATCTCTCGTCTGCCAACGCCGCCAAGAGAAAGCTGGAGGGTGACATGACGACTATGCAAGCCGATCTTGATGAGACCGTCAATGAGCTCAAGGCTGCTGATGAGAAAGCTAGAAGCGCCGCCGCTGATGCAGCACGCTTGGCAGAGGAGCTGCGCCAGGAGCAGGAACACGCCAGCCACGCTGAAAAGGCCCGCAAGTCTGTAGAAGGCCAGCTGAAGGATTTGCAGGTCCGTCTGGATGAGGCTGAAGCCAACGTGCTGAAGGGAGGCAAGAAGATGATCGCCAAGCTGGAGCATCGCGTGCGCGAGCTGGAGAGCGAGATGGATGCTGAACGCCGTCGCCTCAGCGAAGCCCAGAAGAACTACCGCAGGGCCGACCGCAGCGTCAGGGACCTTTCCGTGCAGATTGATGACGGAAAGAAGAATCAAGCTCACATGCATGACATGATGGACAGACTCAACGTCAAGATCAAGCTCTACAAGCGCCAGATCGACGAGGCCGAGGAGGTGGCCAACATGAACCTGGCCAAGTACCGCAAGGCCCAGGCTGAGCTGGAGGAGGCTGAGGCACGTCATGAGATGTCTGGGGCAGTCACGGGGATCCACTCCGTCAAGCAAGCAGCTCTATCATCGCTATGGCAACTAAATGATGCGTCTCAATCAGAAGTTATTCTTCGTCGTCCATCCAGCCGCGCTGGCGGATTGCCTGAGATAAAAATAAAAAAAACAGATATATATCTATTAAACGCGTGCACAAAACTCGATAATATCTTGACTTTACACAACTAATTATATGTGCTTACATTGTCGTGTTATAGATTTTAGTCTGCAGTAACGTTACAAATTTTATGAAAGCCACGAAAGATTAATATTGGGGGATCTCGTAATTAATTTGCTAGAATTCGAGTATCTTGTCACTTCGTAAAATGTAGTTTGTATTGTTTTTACTTACGGCAGCAGGACGTATGGAGAATCCCGAGCTACGAGCAGCAACTCTCAGCTTAGCGACGGCTGCTTCTGCATCCTCAGCGTATCGGGCCGGGTCGCGGAGAGGGTCCACAGCTATGCATATTGATTGCCATTACTGTGCCGAAAATTACAATGAAAAGTAATACTACTTGCTATAACTCTTGCAGTTGTATTTTTAACAGATGTGTGAGCCTCGCTAAGTTTATTCTGTAATTCTACATGTTAAAATTTTAATGAGAGCATAGATAATTGCCAGACTAGAGCTGTACTGGAGCTATCACGAATCCTATTGGTTGTATTGTGTTTGAAGCAAAATAAAATCTCTTAATTACATCATTTGAACCTTGTTGTTTCTATATATTTTTAAGTGTAACTGCATACATGTTACCTTGCCGCGATTACGTACAACATATGCTATTAATACAATACAATAATGTATGTTTCTTAGAAAATACTGTACATGTATACGCTAACACGAATCTTAAAGAAATTCGGGTAAGGTTAGCACCATATTATTAACGCATAATTTTGGGATAGTACTTTCATATTTATCCGCTCGCGACTTTACTTTTTCCACATTGAACATACGTCACCCAATTATTATTTCGCTTTGGAAATGCTGAATATGCGCGAACGCAGATCTTGATAACGTTTAGGTTTATAATACGCGTTATAACTGTTAAATGTGTGACAATGTTTGGGTCTTGTCGTATATATCTGGACACAATACACATGCGTGGGGGAAATACCTACACAGAATAGTACTTTCACATTTAACCACTCGCGACTTTACCCTTTCTATATTAAATATACGTCACCCAATTATTATACCGCCAACGCCACCGGTAACGCCACACCCACCACCACCACCACCACCATCATCATCATCATCAACACCACCACCACCACCATCATCATCATCATCATCATCAACACCAACATCACCACCACCACCACCACCACCACAAGCAGCAGCAGCAGCACCAGCAGCCGCAGCACCAGCAGCAGCACCACCACTGCGCGGCTAAACGTTAAATATACAATCTACTATCAATCAACCAGCGTTGCGGAACACATCTTATATTATCTCAACAGCTGCAGTCTGCAACCCTTACAACGTTCCCATTGCAGACAATAACCTCACGCACTCATTCTTATCAAAATAACAACAAAACGTCTCGACGATCAAGCAACAATGACCACGTGACACGTCACGTGATCTCGACAGAGTAATATTTACCTGTACTGCTATACTTCGGCAAGGTTATAGACGCGTCGTATGTGTTAGCATACCCTTTATAGTACCAAGAGTGAGATAAGCAGGGTTTTCTTGCTGGTGTAATCCGGTTCTGGGACTACTATATATAGTACACGTGTGCGTCGCTGTCATGACCAACGATATAGAATAGGGGTGTGGCTATGACTGCCACATTTGATCGTCAACAAACTTTCATTACATCGTGAAACAACATTCAGGTACGGCAATATATTTATATATTATATAAGCAGATAATTTAACACGTGAAATAATATATATTACTGTTAATATTATACACAAAACACACACACACACACACACACACACACACACACACACACACACAAACACACACACACACACACACACACAC